AAACCCTATAAGCCCTAAACCCTTGCAGGTCTCGGGGCTTTGCGACTTCCGTGTCGGCAGGGCCTTCAAGTGGCGCTTAGGGTTGAAAATATGTCTATAGCATAATGTAGGGGCCTCAATAATTACCTATACTATTTTGGGGGCTCCTTATTGTAATTATAGTACATTGAGCTCCGAAGCCCTATCCTAATTATTAAGGCCTCTATATTCACCCCGAACCCTAAACCCTCACCCGTCTTCGACCCCTTCGGCCAAACCGACAGAGGTCCGAGGCGCCTTCTTCAACGAGACAGCGCTGAAGGCCCTCTTGCCGGGTTTAGGGTTTAGGGCTGAGGGGTTCTGGGGTTTAGGGTTTAGGGCAAAGGGGTTTAGGGTTCAGGGGTTTAGGTTTAGGGTTTCGAGTCTAGGGCCTTAAGGTTCAGGGATTATCCCGGCTTCAGGATCTAGGGTTTGGCACATTGAGGGTGCTCACGGGCTTGTGGGAAGGAGTTTGGCTTCACTTGGAATCAACAAGCCTCCTCTACAGTGTTGTCGAAAGGTTCTAGGATTTTAGGGGTTGTGCTCATGAGTTCTTTTTGGTTATGGTTTAAATGTGGGAGGAGTGTTCTGTGTTGTGTTGGGATTTAAGTTTAGTTTGTGGTGCAGGTTGCAGGTTTGAGGGCTTGGGGGTTGAGTTTGGGGGCTGCATGTTTAGAGTCCAGAGTTTGGGGTTTCGGGATTAAGGGTTTACGGCTCAAGGTTAAGGGGTTTAGGGTTCAGGGTTTAGGGTTTAGGGTTTAGGGTTTCGGGTTCCAGGTTCAGCTGTAGTCGGGTTTGAGGTTCAGTTGTTCTTGCAGCTGAGTAGAGTAGAACCTCAAGCTTCAAAACCTTTTGGAAGCTATGCTGTACCCCTACGGTACTGATGAGGGCTATGCTGAACTTGGATACTGCCCCCTCTCAGTAACAGTTGGAACATGTTTATCGATTTGGTCAGGCCCTCATCGGCACCTTTATGAAAGAGTGCTACTGTATATGGGCAGTACCCAAATTTAGCTTTTTTGTGGTGCCGAGGAATTCAAAAAGTGCTTCATGGGGGGTGCTGTGTTGAAGTTGTATCTATGTTTTTGTTTGAGGGGGTGTCGGGGGGGTGTTGGAAAGCGGCAGGCTATAGGGCTTTGCAAAGTTCTTGTAAAGGGGGTTTTATACAGGTATGATCGGGTCTTGCAAGTACTTGTGAGGATACACTCTCTTTAGAAAGGTTTTATAAGGTGGTTACAAGGACTTAGGAGTATGGGAGTCACCTGAGAGAGCTCGGGCATCGCTTTCGGCTTTGTAGCATGGGCGTTTCCCTGAAGTGCTTAATAGGGGCCTCAATAATTACCTATACTATTTTGGGGGTTCCTTGTTATAATTATGCTTTAAAGAACCCCAAAACCCGTTTATAATTATAAAGGCCCCTATATTTGGATCCTAAAGCATCGGAAGTGCTGAGGATCTTGTCGTCTGGGGTTCCAAGATCCCCAAGATCCCATGTGGCAAACCCGCTAAAAACCGGCTCTGGGCCGCTTTTGTTGGGGTTTTTCACGGTCTGGAGGATGAAGTCTTGGGGTTTGAGGCTGTCAGGGTTCTTCAGAGGTGTGCCTCGTGGGGTTCGAGGGGACTCTTTCAGTATGGGCTGTAGTACGGCTTGGTGTGTACGGTTACTTGGTCTGTCTAGACCACGAGGAGCTGACGCAGAAAGATGCTACAGCGGAGCGCATCTGCAAAGAGCGCGGGCCCTGCGAACTAATGACGCGGGATTAAGAAGTTCCGGTTGCAGAGTCAAGAAATGGACGTTTACGACGTTGAATTTCCACTTCTCGACGATTCGAATCTCAAGCCTTGGGAATTGTATTTTGGACAAGATTCAAGATATGTTTGCTAAGGGCTGCAGACATTCGGATGGAGTTCCGAAATTCCATTGGGCTAGCCTCGTGAGGCGGGAGGAAATGTTGAGGGACTGAACGCGATGCCATTGCGATTCAGCTAAACCCTAAACCCTAAACCCAAGTTACCTTGAGTCTCTGCGCGCATCTTGCCTTTTGGTCAGTCTTGCGAAGTTTCGGGAGAGGGGGGGATGGGGAAACTATACCGATGAGTTTGAACTCTAGGGGGGCCTAGGGTTAGGGTTGAGGGGCACTCACTTGGGGTGTTAATTATAAAGCCCTTCGGCCTACTTTAGTTCACGACCCATCTGTTGGGCAAGTTTTCGGCTGCAAGTCTTGCTGCGATATTGCGGCTTACAGTGTGATCACCATTATCATAATTACTATTGTTTTTATTCTTGCGGTGCGTATTATCATGATTCGAATCCTGCTGTTATCGCATACACTGTATACAGGCACATACGCACACACACACACACACATACACTCACACTCGCGCGCGCGCGCGCACGAGCGCACCTGCACGCACAGTAAGCGTAACACGCAGCGGTACATTCAACAGCCTTTGATGAAGGAGTACCACAAATCATGAACCAGACGATTGTCTATGGTTCGAGGAACCTTCCTGGATACTGGAACCCTAATCCTTCAACTTTAAACCACGGCCCCAGATCCTAAAATGTGAGTTTTCTAGACCCAAACCCTATACCTGTGATCCCAAATCCTAAACCCTAAACCTCCAACCCTAAACTCTAAATCCCAAATCCTAAACCCAAAACCCTATACATAAGGCTTAAATGGGTAGCTCTGAAAAATAGGGTCCCTCTTAGGTGCCCAGTATAGTACCGCACCTTTATAAAAAGGATCCTGAAAAGGGACCCTAGTTTAGAGAAGTGTCCAAATACTTGGGGGGCCGAGGTACATGGCGACCTTCGACCTCCCGAAACTTCACAAAATCTGCAGCAACGGCACTGGCGTGAAGGACCGGTCCTGCGGGAGTTTGTGGGAGGGGGTTTAGGAGTTTAGGATCCAGAATCTATAAGGTTTGGGGTCTAGGGTTTTTAGGGTTTCAGGGTTTCGGGACTTGGGGTTTAGGCCATTAGGGTTTAGGGTTTTCGGATTTTAGGATCTAGCGTTGAGAGCTTCAAGGTTTAGGGCTTGGGGTTTGTCTGATGTCCCATGGTGTAAAGTTCATAGCATGTGGTGAGGCCACGACGATGACAAGCAACAGATTCGGTGTCGTCGGCGGGGTTTCTGGTTTCGGGTTTGGGGTGCTGCGTTGTTGGGTTTTCCATGCCGGACAGATGAACTGGACCAGATCCACAGATATCAAGACTTCTAAAGTCTACTTCGAACCCGACCGTAAAAGCCTAAACCCTATACCCCTATATAAACCCTTACCCCCCAAACCCTAAACCCTTCGCGGAATCGCCGCCCCTCTCTCTTGGGTTCATTGTCGAAGCCCTTAGCCCCCAATGGCGGCTCCAACCCCAAGCCCCCCCACTTCTTTGAACTCCAAAACCACACTCTCCACACCCTAACTCCCCCAAAGCCTAAACTCGTAAGCCCTAAAGCCCTAAGTCTTAACCCCCAAAACCCTAAACCCGAAAGCCCTTAGCCCTAAACCGTAAGCCCCTTCAAACCCTTGTCAGACCTCCTCATTAAATCTTTGCAGCGCCGCATCGGAAACCCTCCCTTCAACAAGACCTAAGCGCTCAACTGCCTAGACCCTGCACACCAAGCTCTAAGTCCTAGAAACCTAGACCCGTACTAGGGCTCCTTGTTGTTCTGATGTCCTCATATAAATCCAAAAAACGAGGGCTGTTGAGCGTCCAGGTAAGTCCTATAACTGTACCCTATGAGATCCATTCTCCCTAACCCTAACTAGCCCCTAAACCCTAACCCCGAAACCCTAAACCCGAACTAACCCCAAGCCCCTAACCCTTAAACCCTAAACCTTAAGCGTCTAAGCCCATTCTCCAGGTGCACGTGAACGGCAAGACCATCGAGCTGTTACCCCGAAAGCACTTCGTCTTCGGCCCCTGGGCTTAAGGTTTAGGGGTTGCAGGGTTTAGGCGTTGCAGGGTTTAGGGTTGTAGGGTTAGGGTGTGGGGTTTAGGGTTTAGGGTTGCAGGGTTTAGGGTTGTAGGGTTTAGGATGTGTCAGTTTGGGAGTAGACTTCCCAGAGCAGAGCTTCGGGGCTTACAGGCGGTGTTTTGTTTCAGTTTGTGGTGTTTTGGGTTCCTTGGAAGGACGGGGCTCCCTGGGAGTTTTGGTGTGGGATTCGATTTCGGTGTCCGACTTCTTGTTACAACAAACTTGACACGGGGTCTCCTAGGCCACCCAACACCCTATAAATTTCTCCAGTGGGATGTTTAGGTTGCTCGCTCGCTCCCTCCTTGCTCTGTCTTTCTCTCTCCCTCTCTTTCGCTCTCACTCTCTTCCTTTCTCTTTGTCTCTCTCTGTCTCCTTTCTTTCTCTCGCTCTTGCTGGTTTGTTCCTTCTGCGTGCCACTCTCCCCCTCTCCCCCTCCCCCTCTCTCCCTCCCTCTCTNNTCCCTCTCTCTCTCTATCTCTCTATCTCTCTCTCTCTCTCTCCCGCTCTCTTTCTTACCTTCTGCGTGACCCTCTCCATGTCTATTTCTGTCTCTGTCTCTATCTATCTCAATCTCTACCCTATCGCTATCTATATCTATATCTCTATCTCTGATGCTCAGTCAGGGTGCCCGGCATGCGATTCGCAAGGCGGGCCACATCCGAGGATGTCAACAAACCTGCCACGAACATGTCGATGGAGTTTAGGGTCTGAGGGGTTAAGGCTTGGCGTTTAGTGGCTTATGGAAGTAGGGTTTAGGGTTGTGCATGGCATCAGCATGCCACGGCGGCTAGTGTTGCAGTCGTCTGCAGCACTCTAGGCGGACCTCTTGCCGGCTGTCACTGTGCATGTTACTATGGTTCCCCGCACAGCTCTCGCCGTGACTGCTTTTACCCCGTGCGTAGGGGTGTGAAGCTTAATATAGAGGCCTCAAATAATGACGAACGCGGCTCCGTATGGTTCCATATTGTTTTTTTTGTGTAGAATGCCACGAACATCTTATTACAATCCGCAATGCCCTTATAGTACGGTTGAGAAGTTCAGCGGTCGATCGGTTTAGAGGTGCTAGGTGGGGTTACCCTAAACCTCAAACCCTATACCTTAAACCTCAAGCCCCGAACCTAGCCCTGAAGGCCTTAAGTCCTGCACGCCCGAAGCCCTGACTCCTTCAGGGTTTAGGGTTTAGGGCTTAGCTTCTACACCCGATAAGCCCTAAACCTTCGCGTTTCGGGTGTTCGCGCCTTCATGGCATTATATACTCGGAAACCTTATTCCTACGTTTACGACCCTTTAGTTGCCAGTACCCCAAATCCTGAAATCAAGACCCCTGAAGCAAGCCATGATTAAGTCCTACCCTTACCGAAACCCTAAACTAAACTTCCGTTTAGGGTTTTAGGGTTTTCGTTGTTGGGTTTCGGGTTTACAAGTTTAAGAGGCAAGTCGTGCTGTAGAGTGCTGGACAGGGCCTCAGATTTTCCATGCTAGTTTTTAGAATTGGGGGTTTAGGGTTTAGTTGATGACACGTAAAACCCTACACGCTCAACCTTAAACCCTAGAGCCCTCAACCCCCAAACCCTAAGCCAGCCTAAACCTTAAACCACTAGAAGCTTCATCGCAAGGTCCTGCTGAAGCAACCTGGAAGAAGTGAACTTCGTGAGCCGGCTGCACATCGCCCCTGTCGCCCTGCCTTTATCTCGTGACTCCTATGGCCGAACCTCTAGTATAGCCCAAACTCTAGGATGAAAATGTAAACTCTCATTATACTCAGTCGTAAAGCGGAAAACTAGGGGTGGATTTCAAGTTATTTATGTCGGGGTCCCTAGGCCTTACGTGCTCGGACCTGAAAGCTTCAAGCTTGAGGCGAGCACTCGGGCTGCAACAGAGAAGCCTCAATAATTGCCAACAGTATTCCTTATTTAGGGCTTAGAAAAATACGCGGCGGCAGCAGCAGCAGCGGTCGTGGTGGCACTACTGGCACTAGCAATAGCCATGCTAGTATTGTCACTAGACAGGAATCAGAAGGACTAGCACCAGTATCAGAAGCAGTGTGTACTGAAGTCGCCTAAGCCGTCGAAGTCCCCATCTATGCGCTCAAGACTTATATAATATAGGGGCCCAAACAAATGACCACTACTATTTGGGGTGGGTTCCTTATTCTATGCAAAGTATAAGGGGCCCCAAAACCCTATTCCAAAAAAAAGGCCCCCAATACCCTAAACCATTAACCCTGAAGGCTGCAGTTCTCCTAGACTGGGTCCTTGTTGGATACCATGTTACATTTTTGTTATCATTAAAACCCAATAAGGATTAAAAATGATGATTTTTAATATAGCCCCAACCCTAAACCCTAAACCCTAAACCCCTAAACCCTAAACCCTAAACCCTAAGCCCCAACAGAGAACTAGTAGAAGGCAGCTCCCTGTCGTAGCCGGGATGGCCAGGCTAGGCCTCCTCCAAATCTGCGCAGCAGCGGGCTCGAAGAGTAGGAATCTATAACTTTGTCATAGTTGGGTAACATTTTACATTTTTAAGGGTGTTTAAACCCAATAAGGAATATAAATTTACATTTTTAATACTACCCCAACCATGAACTAGATAATGTAGGGGGCCTTAATAGTTAGAATGGGGTTTTTGGGGGGGGGTTCTTTTAAAGGGCTCTATAAGATTAGAATAGGGCTTTTGGGGGTTCCTTATTATAGTTACAACAAAAGTATAAGGTAGGGGTCCTTAACAATTAGACCAGGGTTTTTGTTGGGTTCCTTGTTATAGTTATAGTATAATATACCCCCAAACCCTATTCTGATTATTTAAGGCCCCTATATTAGGGCTTTAAAGTCATGCTAAAGTCATAGACGGATGTGTGCTTCGTGATATGCTTGTCCCGTTCACACGGAAGGACTAAATTGCTCCAACCCTAATCCCTGCAATTCGGGTGGTTCAGCCTAAAGCCAAAGCCCACGCACACGGTGTAAACTCCGTGCTTAGGGCGTGAAGCCTAAGTCAGACACTCAAGTAATGTAGGAACCTGATTTAAAAAGCCGGGTCCTATAACCCCCAGAAATTAGGATTCATATACAGAGCCCCAATAAAGACATTGACATGCAAAGACCTAAGATTTCTTAATCAGGTTCCTACATTCCTACACTGCAAAAAAATACCGGTTGAGCCAAGGCCGCAGAAGCCGAGAAGTTCAAACTCGAGAGGCGTAAGGCAGAACTTCACAAAGGCCTCCCACCATTGCAGCTTTAACCCTAAACCTTAAACCCTGAAGCACAAGCTACACGCCAAGGCCAGGATCTGCCCGAATCTGTGCAAACATGGAGAGAGATGGACAGAGCCTGTAGAGCAAGGTCTGTGAACAGCCGCGGTTGAAAGCGAAAAATGCAACGCTCTTCATGGCTTGACGTCTATGTTAAATCATGGGTGCAGGTTGCATGGCCCCAATTCCCGGACATTCTCGCCCCTAGAACCCAGAAAGTTGTTCAAAGGTCTGCCCGATTCGTCGTTACCTCACGGCTTCAGGAGGGTTAAAGGTTTGGCTTCAGGGACTCCTATCGTACCAAACCGTCGGGACTTGCCCTATACGTTGCCTGATTCTTGTCGGTGGCCTAGCCAAGTGAGGAGGAGTTTCCAGAAGCTGAGGACACCAGTCTAGGGTCTTGACAAGAGAAGCCCACAAAAAAGTAATATAGGGGCCTTTATAATTACCTCTACTATTTTGGGGGCTCCCTTATTATAATTATACTACAACATAACCCAAAGCCCTATTCTAGTTATTTCGGCCTCTACAGGAACCATGACCGGAAGAGCATCCCAGGTGTCGCCCAGCGGAGGTTTGAAGTTTCCGAAACAAAGTCCACTTCACAATGTGAAGGTTGATCTAGACGGTTTCGGGTTCAGGGTTTAGGGTTTAGGGTGTCTAACCCTAAGCCCTAAACCCTAAACCCTATACCCTATACCCTAACCCTAAACCGTGTCTCTTGACTTTGCTGTACAGAGGCGATTTATTCATATTGTCACTCTCGAGATAAGCATATTATGCTTGCCAAGCCCGGAGCCTAATGTAGGGGCCTTAATAATTAAAATTAGGTTTGGGGGGTGGGGGGGTGTGCCTGTAAAGGGTTCTACAAGGGCTACTATAAGGGTTTGGGGTAGAGGGGCCGTAGTAGTTAGAATAGGGTTTTGGGGGCTCCTTATTACACTTAGAGTAGAATAAACTTCCAAACCTAATTAGAATAGGGTTTTGGGGTTCTTTATTGTACTTATAGTATAGTATACACCCAAACCCTGTTCTAATTATTAAGGCCCCTATCTTACGGACACAGTCTCGACCCGAGACAGTAAGCCTGAATCAGCGCATCCGATAAGCTCCGAGTGGTCTCGGTTGACCAGCTGGTCGCCGGAATAACCAGGGTTTAGGGTTTAGGGTTTAGGACATGACCATGACACTTCTGATACCAACCTCTGCGCTGAATCCTTAGGCGAAAGCTGTGATGATGGTCAGAGAGATGTCTGTCAGCATCGCATGAGTCGTATGAGACCAGAGCCATCATCTCACCACCGACATATTGACACTGCCAGCCAAGCCACGAATCTTAAGCCCCATACCGTGAAACTCAAACCCACGCACCCCAGCCCCAGAAACCGTAAAGCCCTGAAGCCCGAAAGCCAAAACCCCTAGAACCCAAGAGCCCTAAACTCAAGAACCCAAAAAGGAATGTTTATAGGAGCCCTTAGAGGAACCCTAACATTCCCACACTTCATCGCAGCCTACGGCTCAAAAGCTGCAAGCAGGGGGAAGTTTGGACAGGGCTTAGTGGCTCAAGGTTCAGATAAGGTTCAGGGCTCATTTCTTTGAAAAAACATATATACAGCCGGGTCTAAAGTGTTTGTATAGTGTTTGTCGGGCTCACAGGGTGTATAGTATCTTTCGGAGCTTGTGGGGCGTAACAATGGAGATAACCAGGTCCACAGGCTAAAAGGTCGGATTGAGCATTAACCTTCCACTCCCTGCCCAGTTTGAAACATGAAGACCCCCAGCCAAACCTCCCACACTTAATCACATGGGAAGTTGTCAAAATTATGGTCCCTTTTTGGGTCCTTATTATAATACGGCACCTAGTATTTAAGGGTACCCCAAAAGGGACCCTAATTTTGACAAGTACCCACATATTACCCTAAACCACTAAACCCCTGAACACCAAACCCCTAAAACCTAAACTCCAAAACCCTTAACCCCCGAGCCCGTAAGTCTCAAACCCAACTGCTGAACCCTGAGGCCCTTAAGCCGCTTAACCCTGAAACTGCCAGAGTCCCCAAGCCCTAAACCCCCTAACTTCCCTAAACCCTAAACCCTAAACCCTCACCTAACCCAACAGACTCCGAGATGGGTGCAGCATGCGTACCCTGCGCCAATGGCTGCTGTGGTGTTCGATTCTTTTCCTTGGCACCCTACTTTCGACACTGCAGGCTTCGCCCCTTCCGAGCGTTTTGGGGGCTGGGGTTTTTAAATACCACCTTAATCTTTCAGCAACAAACCAAAGCCCCATAAATTGATTGACTTGAACGCCGAAGGGCGATTTCGGTTTCGAGCTCGGTCACAGGTACATGGGTGGAATGTTTAGAGCTTTTTCTGGGGCGTTCCATCATAGGGGAGCCTGATTCAGAAACCCTGCGGGTTCATTCACCCCCAAAGTAGTTTGGGCTTACGGGGAGGACCCAAAGTACGACCCGGAAAGATCTTCAATTCGTCACCCCGTGGGCCCAGGGTCCGAAAGGCAAGGCTCCCAAGCGCTGCTCAGCGAAAGGGAGGTCGCCAAGTTTTGGGGGGGCCTTAATGATGAGAATGGGGTTTTGGGCCCTTTATACTATACTTTTATAATAAGGAACCCCCCAAAATAGTATGGGTAAGTATTTAGGCCCCTGTATTACACCAACTGGCGATGAGTATGCCCTGAACTGTAAACCCACTTTCAGCCCAAAACTCTGCAACATAGACCAGAATCCCTAAACCGCAATGTTATACGCCGCAAAGCCCCTCTTCAACCCTCCCAACACCCTACAAACCCCTTGTAAAGCTCCATGTTGACCCCTAAACTTGACTAAGCCTTTATAAAGCGTTCCAGCAATACCGAGATCCGGCCCGAAATGAGCACTGACGGGCAGTGCTCTCGGGATCAGGCGCACAACCCTGAACCTTAGTGGGTTTAGGGTTTAGGGTTTAGTTAGGAACAGGGAAACTGACACGCTTTAGACTCAAAGTGGGTACCCTCACGCACCAAGGCCCTGAACCCTGGAGCTCCAACGCTAAATCGCCAAAGCCCTCCTAGAGTCTGAGCTCCCCGGCCCAGAAAATGTAGCGATAGGTAGGCTCTCCTACTCAGCGACTAAGAAAGCCGAACCCCTAAACCCCATACCCCGGACTCTAATTCCGAAACCCTAAATCCGCCACCCCCTACCATTAATGCAGTTGGATTCCACCCACCCACCTCCATCGCCCCTTATGTACATGTCTCGGCAATGGTAGTGGGACCACGGAAAAGAACAAGCCATCCAGAAAATGTACTTCGAACCCCCAAGTATCCCTAAGCCGAAATAACTAGACTGGGGCTCCTTAGAATTATTACACCCGAGGGTTCTGTGGGTTTT